GAGGGAAGAACAAAAAGAACCTTAATTTTCAGAGAGGGGAGTATCAGTTGTATGAATTTCGGAAGAAGCAGAAGAAGATTCAGTCATTTTGAAGCTAAAACAAGATGGAGAAGATGTAAGAACTCTGATTTTCAGATTTGACAGAGGGAAGAAGAAGAACAACAAGAACCCTAATTTTGAGAGGACTATCAGTCGTATGGGGGAGTATTAATGTATTTGGCTGATGGGTTATATGGTTTAGTGGGTAATGTAGGAGTTGGGTCGGGTCGATCTCAAACGGGTGGGTGGGTTGGACATATTTGGGGTGGATTTTAAATCAACCAATAGGATAAAGCCACGTCATTAAAAATAATTTTGATTTTTAATCTGAAATGGGTTGTTAACTTAAAGGGCATGTGTGAGCCAAAACCTTAACGGGGAGGATATATTTAGCCCAATAGGTGGATGAGGGGCAATATTAGACCAAATCTAATACTTCAGGGGCAAAGCTGACCCTTTCCCGTTTAGAAAAAAAGGCTTCCTTTTATTCATTGCATTTTTGTTCTATCGGGGACAACCTTTCTGCCTCGCAGGGTAAAGGAAAGGTCTGTGTATACATTATCCTTTTCAGACCCTACTTGTGAACATTCACTCAGTTTGTTGTTGTTGTTGCTTCCTTTTAATCAAAAGTTAAACTTTCAAAATGTAGATTGGTAAAACCTTTATAACTATGCTTAAACAAAGAACATAGGAAGGATGAGGCAATTATTGCACTAATCATTTTTAGACCTATCTATTTCAGTGTAATATTCTCTAATTCCAAACTTAATACTCATACTTAATATAGAAGGAATACCATTTTTTTGAAATGGTGAAAATTCATTCTCTCAAAGAGAACCTAATTTGATATTACAACAAACTTGACACCTTAGAGGAACCATTCTAGCAAGCTTTGTATAATACAACAACAACATATCCAGTATTATCCCACACCGTGTGGTCTAGGAAAGATAGTGTGTACGCAGACCTTACCCCTACCTTGTGAGGATAGAGAGGTTGTTTTCAATAGATACTCGGCTCAGAAAAGCATAAGCACCACATTAATAAAAATATAGACAATGAGGGACAGTACCAAAAAGCCATATAAAACCAGAATAAAAACACAACAAGGTAGTGAGGTGATGAACAATGAAAAAAATAACGGTTAGTTATAAAAACCTACTACCAACAGAAAGCGAGACTGTGTGCCAATACTATTGTTATGAACACTCTAGACTACCTACTCTACTACCCTAATCCTCGACCTCCATACCTTCCTATCAAGGGTCATGTCCTCGGTCAGCTGAAACTGCGCCATGTCTTGCCTAATCACCTCTCCCCACTTCTTTTTTGGCCTACATCTACCTCTCCGTAGGCCCTCTAATGTTAACCTCTCACACCTCCTCACCGGGGCATCTGTACTCCTCCTACTCACATGACCAAACCACCTAAGTCGCGCTTCCCTAATCTTGTCCTCAATAGGGGTCACACCCACCTTGTCGCGAATAATCTCATTTCTGATCTTATCTAACCTGGTGTGCCAGCACATCCATCTCAACATCCTCATCTCTGCTACCTTCATCTTCTAGACATGAGCGATCTTGACTGGCCAACACTCAGCCCCATACAACATCGTTGGTCTGACCACCACTTTGTAGAACTTACCCTTAAGTTTCGGTGGCACCTTCTTGTCACACAAAACACCGGAAGCGAGTCTCCATTTTATTTTTTCCACCCCAATACGACGTGTGACATCTTTATTAATCTCCACATCCCTCTGAATAATAGACATAATGTATTTAAAACTTTCTCTCCTAGGGATGACCTGTGAGTCCAACCTCACCTCCCCTTCCCCTCCTTGAGTCTCGCCACTGAACTTACACTCCAAGTATTCTATCTTGGTCCTGCTCAACTTGAAACCTTTAGATTCCAGGGTCTGCCTCTATACCTCTAATTGCGCATTCACACCATCTCGCGTCTCGTCAATCAATACAATATCATCTGCAAATAGCATGCACCACGACACTTCCCCTTGGATGTGGCACGCCAGTACGTCCATCGCCAGAGCAAACAAAAAAGGGCTGAGTGCCGACCCTTGATACAACCCCATCATAACCGAAAAATGGTCTGAGTCCCCATCTACCGTCCTCACTCGGGTCTTTACTCCATCATACATGTCCTTAATCAACCTAACGTATGCAACATGTACACTTATAGCCTCCAAACATCTCCACAAAACCTACCTCGGAACTTTATCAAAATGTATAATATTTTTATTATGGGAAAATGGCCAAATATAACCCTCTACTTTCACATATTGTCTACATTTAACCTTCGTTATACTATCGGGCCAATTTATCCCTAACGTTATACTATCGGCCAAATTTACCCCTACAATCAGAAACTTTAAAAAAAAAACCCCTTGATTTGTTAAGTAATCCAAAATCTCCCAAATTCTTTTTATTTAAATCACTTGTTGTTCTTCTTGCTCCATTATTTTCAAAAATTACTATTGATGTGAATGCTAAAGTTACTAGACTATACAAATTATTCATAATTTTTTAAAATTACCAATGTACCCATTTCTCTTATTGTAATAAATAAAATAAATTTAGAATTTTATTTATTTTTCAATCATACACACACCGCAGAATTTAGTGGGTTTATTTATTGTGTATTATATGCATCTGATCATCATGTATGTACATGTATATTCAAATATATTTTGTCATTGCCTGGTTAGTATAGAGTTCGATCGACTAACTTAAGAGTGCACAATGTGTAGGCATTTAATTAAAGCAAAGTTGAATTAGACAATGTAAAGTTCTGAGAAACTTCAACTTCAATCACTAATACTTGCTAAGTCTCCATACATTTGGTGCAACGAATTCATTAAAATTGGGATGTTGTAAATACTTTTAGAATTTAGAAAAGCTACCTAATTTAGATTTTTCAATTTACTATACTTTTTTTTCCCGGATGTATTATTTAAATTTTTTTCTCTTATTTTTTTTCCTCTAATTCAGAAAGCAGGTAAATGCCAATTATTTTAAAAATAGTGGACCAAGAAGAACAACAAGTGATTTAAATAAAATAAATTTGGGAGATTTTGAATTACTTAACAGATCAAGGGGTATTTTTAAAAATTTGTTGATTGTAGGAGTAATTTGACCCGATAGTATAACGATAAGAATTAATTTGGTGCGATAGTATAACGAAGGTTAAATATAGACAATATATGAAAATAGAAGGTATATTTGGCCCTTTAAAAGGAAAATGAAAAATGACGTAAGCAAAAGTCTACTCATTTAAAGGAAAAGAACAAATAAAAACCAACGGAAAGTAAACAGGAAAAGGATAGCTGAGACAACGAAGCGGAAGTCTAATTCCACACCAACCACTTACGATGCACGTGACTTTTCCGCTATACGACTAATATTTCGATACTCCCCACACGACGACTCCATCATATCCACGCTTGTGCTTCCACGTGTAACTCACGCGCCTGTGTACTTTTACCTCTGCGGACCTCAGGAAGTTTGCTAGTCAATAGCCTCTCTTTGGACTAGTACATACTACGACTACTATATTCATCTTATGGACACTCTTTCTTTCTTTAAATATATATATGTTCTAGATAGAATAATATTTTTTATATTTAAAAAATTATTTAATTTCAAGCTTTTTATTTTATTTTTGATATCATGATTTTATAGTCATAAAAATATCATGTCTTGTCTTAAATTACAAGTTTTAAGAATTTTTTTTTCCATTTTAAATTTGATATTTAGTAGAAAAGATTCAGGTAAAATGAAATGGTGAGATTAATACTTGTCTTTTATTTTATATGACACCTTATTTTTTAGTTTGTTAAAAAAAGTACGTAACATATTTTTATATTTAACAATTTAACTTTAAACTTCTAATTTAATGTTTAATGACATATTTTATTATTATTATTATTATAAGAATATGATGATATGTTTAAGATCACAATTCTTCTAATACCTTTAGTACCAATCAATGTTCTTTTTTCTTAATCTTCGTGTCGAATCAAATAATATTATATAAAATAACAATAGTATTTTTCATTGTTTATAATAATGACACTACTTGCATCTAAAGGTATGGCGTAATTATTAATAAAGTAGATTGAGAACCATAAAGTCCCAAATTTAAATCTCGGAAAAGTGCAAAAGCGCTAGTTGATTTCTTTTGTGTATACCTATTGTGTGTGAAAATAGCATGGTCTAACCAGTTTTCGGACTGATAATCGAAAAATAGTCAGCGTTTGTAAAGTCATTGAAAAATAGCCATTATTTTGCTGAAACACGAAAAGTTCCAGCATATTAATTATGGAGCTCTTACGTATAAACTTTCAACATATTATGTTGGAACTCTAGTATAGAAAATTCTACCATAATATGCTGGATTATGAAACTCCTCCATTTAAACTTTCCGCGTATTATGTTGGAACTCCAGCACATTATGAAATTCCAGCATATTATACTGAAATCTCAGTTTATAAAGCCACAAAAATGATGCGCTTGAGATTGCGACCTGCCCAGAATGCCCATACAGACTAAGTCGGGAAAAAATTCATGGCCGGAAGTGTTCAGGCATCCGACTCCCCTATGCCTTTTGCTGCTCCACAATGCTCTCTCCAAAACAAAACTCAAGTGAGTATAAAAAATTCAAGCTCCAACATATTATGCCGGAAGTTTTCCAAATTTTAAAGGTATTTTTGTTCAGATTATATGTTCACATGAAAAAATGGCTAAATTTTGATTAATTTTGAAATTATAACAATTTTTCAGTTATCAGTTGTAAATCTGGCTATTTCTAATTTTTTTTTCCAATGTTGTTGGGACCAAAGTTGGTAAGCGTGTAGTCCACCTATGTTTTTGTGCGCGTGGGCATACTTATCTATTTCTCCCTCATAAATACCTAAACTCCCATTAAACACCTCCCACTCTCTTCTGCAAACCATAGCACTAAACGTTCACTCAAACAGCTACTCTCACCTATTCAGATAGAAAAAAGCACAAAACAAAAACAGTATATATATAAACAGCAGCAAAAGATCAAACAGCAAAAAGGCATTAACCCCAAACACAATCAAACATGCCGATCGCCGCCGCCACCGCCGCCGTCAACTTCCATCCGACGACAACACGCTACAGCGGCACATTCGCCTCACCACCTTCTTCACCCTTTCGCACCTCCGTTTCCATCTCTAACGCCGTCAACACAACGACAGCTCGTGTTACTTCCCTCTCGCTCTCCATGAATTCCCGCCCTAATTTCACCGCCAGCCGCCGCACATTCCTGCTCTTATCCTTCGCTGCTTCTGGCGGCAGCGGTGGAGACGATAATTTCAACGGAGGTAACGGAGGCAGCAGTGGAAACGGCGGAGGTGGCGGCGGCGGCGGCGGTGATAACGAGGAGAGCGGCGATCAGAAAAACAACAAAAAGGAAGCTTTGATGGCATTGACGGAGGCAGGTAACTCGCTGTTTTTACCTCAAACTCTATATATACAGTGATTTTTTTCAAATAAATAAATAAAATACATATATTAATTTGAACCGATATAAAATACTGAATTCCTCTCTGTCGTGCAATCATAATCTGTATTTACTAATTTAAATTGGATTTAAGTTATATATGCGGGCTGTATTTTTTTTCTTTATACTATCCATGAATTTTAGCCAGTTAGCAGTAGTTACCTTTTATTAGATTACCAATTAATGCTTATAATTGATCTGATTGTGTAATTCTTTTTACACTTTAAGCATATAACTTAAACTCATTTAAATGTTGGATCCGTATCTGCTTCTGTAGGTAGGTCATTGGAGAGTTTGCCGAAGGATATGAAGGCGGCGATAGAGGATGGGAGAATACCTGGATCCATAGTATTAAGGTTCTTTGAGCTAGAGAAATCTCCATTATTTGCATGGTTGCTTCAGTTTGGAGGGTTTAGGGAGCGGCTTTTGGCAGATGATCTTTTCTTAGCTAAGGTTGCTATGGAATGTGGCGTTGGTATATTCACCAAGGTTGGGAATTTGCATTAGCACGTCAATTTTTGAAAATTTACTAGTTTCCACCCTAAAGTTCAATGCTTTTTTACTTATTTGGCCTTGATTTTAAAAATATTTGCTCTCTGATTGGACTTTCTGACACATTTTAGGCGATTTTCTACTGGGGAAGGCATGCGTTTCTAGGTGATTGGGTACTTCTTAATTAACGGGACCTAACACCTATATTACTTTCTTTAGTTTGTTAAATATATGACGAAGACCAAAAGTGAGCGCAAACTTAAAGGACCAAAACTACTCAGGAGTATATTTAAGGGACCATTTTGAACCTACTCCTAAATATAAGAGACTTTTCTTTCATTTTTTCTGTACTATGTTGTCACGCTGAAATGGTAAAAATTTGTAATTTTACTCTATAGTTTTTAAATGTCGGGTCTATTATTAAAAGGTGAATTTATCTAGGTCATGTAGCTTTGGAAGTTGGTCAAAATTGAGTTTAATTATGGATGGATAAGGTGGTATTTGATTGTCCTTTTTGACACATTTGTAGTGATTTCCTAGATGGGAGACATACTATAGGATGGAGAATTTTCTAAGTTTTAACTGCCATGACGAATATAATATGGACGAACTAGAGACTTTTATGCAAAAATTAAGATTGCTGCAAGAGGGTATAGTTATTGGGAGTAAAGATTGAAATTTTGGGAGGATATTTGTTAATTTGGCTATTGTCTGTTTGCTGAAGTGTTGGAGTCGATCAAGAAACCATCATTGAGAGAGATTATCAGCAGCTGAGCTTACTAGTAGGGTGTGAACTCTTCGGTTCAGACAATATGAGCATTGCCTCGTAATAAACTAACAACAAAGGAGATTTATCGAGCTCATATTATGTGTTTATTTTCTCTCGTTTAACTATTAGGATGCATTCTTCTTGAAGCACACTTGGGTTATGAAGAAAAACGTTGTACTTGAGGAATTTATTTAATTTTTTTTAAAAATAGGCCTTTTTCTTTCATAGTTTTGTGTTTGATATTAAGACTTTGCTGGTATTTTGATGTTAAGACTTTAGTTAAACTGCATTTGGGGTGAGTGAAAGGTGAAATCCTACTGTAGAAAAAATTTAAAAATTACATATTTTTTAATGAGTAATAGAACTATCCGGGAATTGTTGACAATAGGAGTAAGCTTACCATGTAGGAGAGCAAGATGATGAAAAGTGGGGAGTGCTTTGTGCTTTACCGTGCAACCTTCAAAAATTTATGGAACCAAGGGAAGTCTACAAGTCTTTGTTTATCTCTTTCCCTTTCTTCAATCTTTGTTCTTTAAATAATAGTCAAAACATCTAGTTTCTAGATGCTTTCCAAGAATCCTTTCAAGTCCTTAACGTCCTATGTGGTCGTGCTAACGATAAGAATATTTGAAAATTTTCTTTAGTTATAATGGAACATCGGGTTTCCTAACTTTTATTTTATGTATGTTATGCTTGGTAAAATGTCATGTCTGTTTATTGATTAGGTAAGATGAAATTTAATGAGAGTATTGGATTCAGCCTCTCCTTTCTCTTTGTTGTAAAGCTGGGCCCATTTGGGTTTAAGCTTGATAGCCATGAACTCTGGTTGCACAGACCCCTCATCCAGATGCAGTTTTGAGGGTTGGGATCATTGTGGAGATGTTTTAGTGGAGTATTTCAAAGGTTATTTTGTGGGCTTCTTATATGGCCAAAATTAGATTGCCCGGAGTGAGCTTCAACTTCCTTTTTTTTATTGATAACCATAGTGTACGGGACAGCTTGCGTACACCTCGACTAATTCCATTGTTACCTACTACCTCCCACCAAGGCTTGGACAAATGAGAAGAAATCAACTAGTGTTTTTTGCCTAAGCAAAGATTTGACCCTAAGACCTCATGATTCTCAACCCACTTCATTGACCACTAGGCCATACCCTTGGTTGCAAGTGAGCTTCAACTTCTTCACAGGAGAAAGAAATATATAGAAAAAGAAATTATACTCGTATAGACCTAACCAATATAGTTTCATGTGACCAGTCAGAGAAGCATTTGGAGCAGCTATGGAAAACTTGTTTCTCATGGTCGATAATTTTTATGTTCGATAAAGGACTCTTTCTTGTGCAAGCATGCAACTGCTTCATCTTTGCTTTAAGAAGTAGGAAATTCCAAAGTCATTGCTGTGGATTATTTTTCTGTAGTACTAGAAGGCAGAGTGGTATAAAGTGGCTTAGAAGGAAGCGAAGACAACAATAACTGCGGCTAAGACTGCCGCGTTTGAACGCCTATATGAAGAACTTGGAGGCAAGGGAGGGGATAACAAGTTGTACAGGCTAGCCAAGGTGCGTGAGAGGAAGGCCCGTGATCTGGACCAGGTGAAGTGCATCAAGGATGAGCACGGTAGAGTGTTGTTGGATGAAGCACTTATTCGTCGGAGATGGCAGACTTACTTCCATAAACTCTTGAACGAAGAGGGGGATAGGAACATTGTGCTGGGTGCCTTAGAACAATCCGAGAGTCGTCGGGACTTTGAGTATTGTAGGCGTATAAAAGTTGAGGAGGTAGAGGGGGCTATGCGTAAGATGAGCAGGGGAAGAGCGACCAGGCCATACGAAACCTCGGTGGAATTTTGGAAGAGCGTGGGTAGGGCGGGCTTGGAATGGCTAACTGGGCTATTCAACGTCATTTTTAGGACGAAGAACATGTCTGAGGAATGGAGATGGAGTACGATGATCCCATTGTATAAGAACAAGGGTGATATCCAAAATTGCAACAACTATCGGGGTATCAAGCTATTGAGCCATACTATGGAAGTATGGGAGAGGGTAGTGAAGCAGGGGGTGACTATGAAAGTATTGGAGAGGGTAGTGAAGCAGGGGGTGGGGAGGATTGTGTCTATTTCAGAGTACCAATTCGAATTTATGCCGGGGCGTTCTATTACAAAAGCTATTCATCTTGTTAGGAGGTTGATGAAGCAGTATGGGGAAAGGAATCAGGATTTACATATGGTGTTCGTCGACTTAGAGAATACTTATGATAAAGTGCCAAGGGAGGTGTTGTGGAGATGTTTAGAGGTTCGAGGCGTTCCTGTTGCATACATTAGGGCTATTCAAGACATGTACGATGGAGCTAAGACTTGAGTGAGAACAGTGGGAAGGGACTCGGAATACTTCCCGGTTGTGATGGAGTTGCATCAGGGGTCAACCCTTAGCCCATTTCTGTTTGCCTTGGCAATCGACGCGTTGACGCGACACATTCAAGGGGAGGTGCCGTGGTGCATGATATTTGCAGATGACATTGTACTGATTGACGAGGCGCGAGGTAGTGTTAACGAGATGTTAGAGGTTTGGAGGCAGACCCTGGAGTCTAAAGGTTTCAAGTTGAGCAGGACCAAAACAGAATACTTGGAGTGCAAGTTCAGTAGCGCGACTCAAGGAGTGGACGAAGACGTGTGGCTTGATTCACAAGTCATTCCTAAGAGAGAAAGTGTCAAGTACCTTGGGTCTATTATACAAGAGAATGGGGAGATCGACAAGGATGTCACATACCGTATTGGGGCGGGATGGATGAAATGGAGGCTTGCTTCTGGTGTTCTGTGTGATAAGAATGTGCCACCAAAACTTAGAGGTAAGTTTTATAGAGTGGTGGTCAGACCGACTATGCTGTATGGGGGGAGTGTTGGCCAGTCAAGAACTTCCATGTACAGAAGATGATAGTGGCGGTAATGAGGATGTTGAGATGGATGTGCGGGCATACCGGGTTAGATAGAATTAGAAATGAAGTTATCCGAGACAAGGTAGGTCTGACCCCTGTGGACGGTAAAATGCGGGAGGCGAGATTTAGATGGTTCGGGCATGTTAAGTGGAGAGGCACTGATGCCACGGTGAGGAGGTGTGAGAGGCTAGCATTGGAGGGACAACAAAGAGGTAGAGGCAGGCCGAAGAAGTATTGGGGATGTGATTAAGCAAGATATGGCGTTGATTCAGCTGACCGAGGACTTGACCATGGATAGGAAGGCTAGGTAGCCGAGTGTTGTCCTTGTTTATCACAGTAGCTAAGGCTAGGTAGCCGAGTGTTGTCCTTATTTATCACAGTAGCTTTGATACATCACTTAGTGTCATTCGTGTTTTATCCCTAGATTGCTGTTATTACTTGTTGCTGCCTTGTTTCGGTTTTCTGATTACATTACTTAGTGTTAGTTTTGTATTTTCGCTTCGGTTGTCAGATTGGGTTGCTTGTTATCGCCCCTTCCCTTTCCCTTCCTGAGCCGAGGGTCTACCAGAAACAGCCTCTCCGCCTTTTTAAAGGCATGGGTAAGGTCTACGTACACTCTACCCTCCCCAGAACCCACTTGTGGGACTGCATTGGTTTTGTTGTTGTTGTTGTTGCTAGACGGCAATCCTCATTGGCTGAATCCTCTTTTTGTCTTGATGGCTTGCCAAAGTCCAACTGCTATATTTCCTTCTCTGGATTCATGTTCCCTTTCAGGCGTGCATAATTTACCAACCTTTGTCCTGCACATACTGCTTTCCTTATGGGATATCTACTTTATAATTTTTATATTTTTTTATATTGGTAGGTCTACTTTATTATCTCTATTACTATGGTTTGTAATGTCACCATACTTGGCTAAGCTTGAGATCCATCTTTATATCTTTGGGCGTATGGGTCCGTAAGAACTTGAGTCGACAACATTATGGTTTTTCATTGTGCCGTATAGGGAAAATTTATTGCAAATGTTCCCAATCACCCCGATTAACAGGGACTCCATTCCCAAAGATCTTGAAAGTTCAGCATGATAGGCTGCTCTGGCTGTTCTTGGCGAACAAAAAGAAAAATAATGTTGTTACTTTTTTGTTGCAGATTATTTTCGTGTTGTCTATATCTGTTTATGTATGAAAATTGAGATTATTTCTCTGTGCTTTTAATTGGTAACTCATTTTTCACCTGTGCGCTACAGCAAATTTCTGTTACTTTCCTGTTGTCAAAATAGTACGAATATTTGTTTGTTACTTAATCTGCTTTATTTCAGACTGCTGCTGAGTATGAGCGCCGCCGGGAAAACTTTTTTAACGAGCTGGAAATTGTTGTGGCAGATGTGGTACGTTGTTCTTCTTCTGATTGCTAATATATACATCTGTTTTCATTTGATTTTTTTTTTGCTTGTAATGCTAACAGAAAACAAGATTTTCTTCCATGCGGACCTATTTTTGCTTCCTCTGATTTTATGATGTGAGAATTATTGAGCTTTCATGGAGGCCGTCAATTTCGCGGGAGCAATTTCCTTTTATCCATATATGCTGTATTTCCATTTTTTTTTTTCCTGAAGTTCATCTTTCTTTAAAGTAGATCAAATTCACTGCCCGAAACATTTTCCATTTACCTTGGACAAATAAATTGATGTTTCTCTCCAAGATGTCATGTATCATTGGTTAATGAGAAACTTAGATTTTAAATTGCAAATGATTGATGATTCTCTCCAAGGTGTTGTTTATCCATTGTGAATGAGAAACTGATATTTTCATGGACAATCACCGATGATTCTCTCCAAGGTATTGTTAATCCTTGGTAAGTGAGAAGGTCAGGTTTTAAGAAGTTCTACATGTTTATCCAGAACTGTTTATCATTTTGTCGATACATGTACTTCTGAAGAAAATGGTGCACTTCCTCAATGCGGTTGAGCTGCAGAAATCCATTCCTTTCAGTGCAACTTTTGTTTTTAGGAAGAAGGAAGATAACGATGCACTCTTATGGACCAAACAATGCTCTAGGTCGCACAGTTCTATCTTTAATATTTTTCCTTTGTTCTGCATAGGTGATGGCCGTAATAGCAGATTTCATGCTCGTCTATCTTCCTGCTCCTACTGTTTCTCTCCGACCACGAATGGCAGTTGATGCTGGACGAATTGCCAATTTCTTCTACAACTGCCCAGATAATGCCTTTCAGGTCATTAATGTTTATCATTTTAAATTCCATTTGGGTCATAAACACTGGGTTGTACGTTAAGAAAGGCTAAAGAATAAAATTTGACTTGCTATTATCAGTGTTGTCAAAGGCACGCTTAAAGCGCGCTTAAGCCCTAAAGCGAGGCTCAAAACATGTTGAGCGTTTCACCTCGCTTTGGGGGCGCTTCAGTGTCACATCAAGGCTCTAAGGCATACTTTTCCTTGCCAATGAGTGTAATCTTGAAAAGGCGCACTGAACAATTGATATTTCACTTTATTGGAATTTTTTTTTCAATTTTTTTGTCCATATATTTGTTATTTATGCTTATAATTATTGGTCTTGGACTACATATACATATTTTTACTTTTTCTCCAGATGCGCCTTTTTTCATTAAAGCCCACGCTTTATTTGCGCTTTGCGCTTAAAGCCCCAACGGGGCTTAGAGCTTTTTTGCGCTTTTCGCCTTTGATAACACTGGCTATTATATACAGATGGCCCTGCCTGGAACATCGTACTCATTGTTGCAAAGATTAGGTGCAATAGCGGTATGTAATTCTTGTCTTACTTCATGCCCCATTCTTGGGAACTAAAGCTTCAAGAATGAACTACCGACTAATAACTGGTTTTGATTGAATCAAATTTGTAGCGCAACGGGAGTAAACTTTTCGCTGTTGGAACCGCCTCTTCCCTGGTAATGTTCAACTTTTCATTTTTTCGTCTTAGATGTGTTTGTGCTGAGACTTTTTCGTCTTTGCCTTTATCCTTATATGTTCCAAATGAACTCATTGTTGGCGTCGATTGTTTTTCTGTAAAGATCCTATCATTATTTATCCTTTTAGTGATGTGCTTGTGAGGTCATTATTATTTTTTGAAGTGTTAGGTAAAATTTTATTGCTCCAGCACCAAGGATGTGCTCTAGCTGTACATATCGAGCAAAAACAAAATCAATCCAATCTGTAGTCTTGTAAGGATTCTGTGAGGTCTAAAACTAGTTCTGCTTCATCTACTAGTTCCTCTTTACCCCAAAAGAAAACAAAAGTATACAATTGTACAATTGAGCTGATTTTGTAAGGAACTGACTGTCTTGAAAACCTCCCATGTTCCATTCCTTCCATATTATTCACCATATGGATTGGGGGAATTGTGTTCCACCATTTTATCTTTCCTTGAGTCCCTTTCCTGTTCCAACATTTCAACATTTGTTCTGTAGTCTTAGGATAATCCACCGAAGATTAACAATGTTGAGGAAGAGCTGCCATAGTTGGTCTGCTGCAGGGCAGTTGTAGAAAGAGGTGGCTAACACTTCCAGGCTTCTTACCACATAAGTAGCATTTGCTATCCAGCAAAATTCTCTTTTGAGGGTCATTGTTGAAACTTCTTATCATATAGCATGCAAAAGGTTCATAATCATCCAAAGGCACATACCACACGCTCCAAGTCCCCGACACCCTTGGGCTCTTTCCTGATAACAAAGGTTTTTGAAAAAGAATACAAGGGTGTTTAGTTTTTCATTCCCCTATAATTAATTTCTTCGTTGTTGTCCAATGCCTCAACTTTGGTTGACCATCTCTTGATGCCCTAAAAGTACCTATATTTTGTGCCTACTATACGCTCTACGATTTCTTATTGGGCTCAAGGCACTGGGTTTCTTTCTGCATAACTGGTGAATAGTGACTTTAAGATTTCAACTATGACTCAATTGAGCCAGCATACTAAGCTTAAAAGTGAACTAATTTTAGAATGACAATGTTTTACACAGCCCATTGCACCATCAAACTCTTAATATTTAACAAATACGAGAAATTTAATGCTCGACTTTTATTTTTGAGCTAGTTTTTCCTTAGGAAAAATTGCTCCGAGAAATGTGGTCGACTGTTCGAGCCTCTCTCAACCGTAATACTTTGTCCTTCTCAAAAAAAAAAAATTGCTCCTAGAAAAGCTGAAACTTTTCTCATGCAAAAAGTAAGAGGCAACACTATTTGCGGATTTTGCATAAAGCCACGGAATGGCTAGAAATTTTGAAGAGTGTGTGCGGATGGCTGTATAGCACGCAGCCTGGGGCCCATTCCTTATGTTGAGGCTGAGCTTTGGTTGTTGTGCACCAATGGATCTCACTCGCAGCAGCCTGGTTTAGAACTTTTATCCTAAGATATTCACATTGACCCAAGATAATGTTGAAAGTTTTTGGAAGGGAAAAGAGCAATATTTTGACTTGAATCACCTCACTGTCCTGTGATTAATGTTTTTGGCATAACTTCTGTCATCAATCCTCAAAAGAGTCGTGGATTCTATATTAGAATTTTTATTTAACTTCACTTCAAACATATCACTAATATTTTCTTTCTTGCCTTTTGTTGAAGATTGTTTTCTTTCTTGGACAAATTTCTTTGCACAATGATATGGGTCCTAGAGGTACCTAAATGAAATTAATTTCTTTTCCACCAGGTTGGCACAGTAGTGACAAATGCAGTATTAAATGCTAAGAAGGCTGTTGATAAGTCCGAAGAGGTGGAGACTTTGCCTGTTCTATCGACCAGTGTAGCTTATGGTGTTTATATGGCAGTTTCTAGCAACCTTCGGTGAGTGTGATTAGATGAGTATGATCACTTAATCATTTGTGTTTCCACTATTTTGAGATCTTCATCGTTTATGATCTGCACTCTCATGTCATAATTTTTCTCATACTTGCCTTTTCTCAAAATATCATAATTTTTCTTGTCCTAAGAAGCAAAATAGAAGCTCTAGTCCAGTAACACTTGTTTTCATTTTTGTATAATTCCACATTCTTTCATATATTAGTCCAAAAGATATTCCTCCAATATAAGCATCTTTCTGAATGGAATGTCACTGGTCACAATTTTGTAAAGTATCATGCAACGTACCCTTTTACTTTCTAAACTTAGAATCCAGAGAAATCATCTTCTTTTCCTCGGTGCGGTACAGCTTTTCTGATGTAGCTTGCGTGCAAAGAGTATTTCTCATTGTTTGAATGAATACAGTTTGGTGTTCCAGGGCTCCGGTGCAGCCATTTGGCTTCCACCCCGTCACCTGTTATCAAGGGAGGGGCTGTTGTTCATTT